TCGTGCGTGTAGTGCGGGGTTCTTCTTGAAGTTTCTTCTTTCTTCTGAATGTTGGTTTCTTCTTTCCTCAAAAACTTTCATTCCATGCTCAATAAACTGTTTCTAAGGGTCTAATTCCTCAGCAACAATCTTCTCCCAATCATTTGGCTCAAGGTTCATTGCCTTCATATCTCTCTTGCAAACATCTTTGAAATGGAGAGCAGGATGCCCACCTGGTCTTCTTGTCATGAGTTCTCATAGTTTCATAGTTGGTAGGGTCGGAAGGGACCTGAGCTGATCATCAAGTCCAAACCCCTGCCACGCAAGAGATCCTTGGGTAAATAGCCACTGGTTATCCGTGGAGATCCTTGGGTATATAGCCACTGTCCATTCTCCCCATATAACCAAGCCATTGAAGTCGATGCTGACTGAAGTCAAGAAGCGAATGGATGCCTGGAATGCTGGCACATTCTAAGACCTCAGCGTAGTCAACTTTGTCTCACCAGGAAATTCCTAGAATGAAGCAAAGGCAATGTAAGTGAAAACTGTAAAGGTGTTTTACTTGAGTAGAGTATGTGGTCCAAGATTCGCTGGCGTACAAAAGTGTTGATGATGCATGCATGACATACTTTGACCTTGGTCTTAACAGTCAGTTTGTTGCAGTTCCACATCTGTTTACTCACCATGCTTATGATACCTGATACTTTGCCAATGTAGGTATTCAGTCCAGCCTCAAGTAACAAGATGTTGATAACAATGGAGCCGAAGCATGTAAAATTACTTACAACATCCAATACATTTTCACTTATTGTGATTGCTGGTGGCGAATCAATGTTCTGGTCCATAATACTAGCCTTCTTGATGCTGACTGCAAGACCAAACTCTTGGCAGGCATGAGTGAAGTGACTGGTGAGGCGTTGAAGGTTGCTTTCTGTATCATCAGCTAACACCAGCTCCAGGTTCAAAACAGGCTTAGAGCAAGGATACAACCCTGCTTGACTCTGCTTCAAATCTCAAAAACCTCAGACACTGATCCATCATAGCTTAATGTTCTCTTTATTCCATCATGGAAAGAGCAGATTATGCTGAGGAGATCCAGTGGACAGCCAATCTTTTCCAATACTTGGAAGTGGCTTTTTCTGTTGACAAGGTCAAGGGCCTTAATCAGGTCAATGAAGGTGACATAGAGGGGGGGTTCCTTTGTTCCCTACATTTTGTTCCCCTTGTTCCTACTGCTTTTCTTCTTGTGCCACATATTTAATTCTTATTTAGTTCTGCAAGTCAACTTTTTATACTTTCAAACAGTGGCAAGATTTTCAAACAATCTTGATAATCTTGTTGATATTTAACAAGTCATTTCTCATTTGAACGTGCAAATAAAAAAATCACAAATGGTTGTCTCTGTGACAGATGAAAATAAACTATCAGATCTGTAGGTGTCTAGACATATATCAGGTCATGGGTAAATTCAGACATTGCCTGCTCGCTTCATCTTGTACAAGTATACAGTAACCTAGGAAATCCTTTCCAATTTACCTGCTATAATATATTCATTTCATTTTAATCTAATATCTTGTCCATTAATCTAAGGAAGTAGGGTCTGAATGAAACTGCTAACTAATTGCTAACTAGTTGCTAACTGCTAACTGTGCACAAAGAACTGGTCGCCAATGGTTCAACATCTAATTTGGAAGAAGTATAAATTGGGATTCCCCAGGAGACTGTGATGGGTCCAGTACTATTCAATATCTTCAATAATGACTTGGGGAACAGAATTAAGTGTACATGTCTTAATTTTGCAGATCACACTGATACATTGCAAAACTGATCCAAAATAAATTGAATAAAATTCAATAAGAGAAAGTGCAAAATACTACACTTAGGACAGAACAATAATGTGTACATATACAAAATGGGCAATGAATGGTTGGGCTGCAGTAATACAGAAAATGACCAAGGAGGTAAGGAGAGGAGGAGGAGGAAGACAAGGAAGAGGAAGGATATAGTGAACTGTAAACTAAATGAGTCAACAGTGTAATATAGTGGCAAAAGAAAAGATAACAGCTTACTAAAATGTATTAGCAAGAGCATAGCATTCAAGACATGGGAAGTGATTCTTCTATTCCATTCAACTCTGGTGAGGCCTTGCCTAAAGTACTGTGTCCAGTCCGGGCACCAAACTTAAAACAAAGACACAGACAAACTGGAAAGAGTCTAGAGAAGAGCAACAAAAATTATCTGAGGTCTAGAAAACACTGACGTGTGAGAAAAGGTTAGAAAAACTAGGAAGTTTTAGTCTAGAGAAGTCTCGAGACTGAAGGGGGGCATGCTTGACAACAGCCTTCAAATAAATATAATGAAAAAGTAGAAATCATTTGTTCTCTGTATCCAACGGGGAAGTAATGGGCCTACACTGAAACATGGGAGATTTTGGTTAGATATTAGGAAGAACTTTCCAACTCAGCACTGGAGCAGGTTACTGAAAGAGGCTGTAGAATCCCTGTCACTACATTTTTAAAGGCAAGTTAGACAAACATTTTTCTGGAATGATTTTGACTGGGACATTCCTGCCTTCACCAGGGGATTAAATCCAGTGGTTTGCAATTAGTGTATTTCCCTAATCAAAAATGACTTTGAAGTAAAGAGGCCTTCCCCCAAATAATTAGATTCCATACATAGAAAAATTAGAAATTTTTAAATTTGCCCCACCCCACCCCCCAACTCTTACAGGGGGAAAGTAGCAGCAGGAAGGTAAGTGGTAGGGGACAGGCAGTGGGGGGACAAGTGGCCTGACCCTCCCTGGACTCCCCAACACTTGTCCCCCCTGCTGCCTTGTCCCCCAGTGGTGCCTCTGCCCCCGCTGCAACCTCTGCAGTCCACAATTTCTGTCCACCCTGCCCAGCACTGTCTGCCCTACCTGCCGTGGTCAGGAGGGTGGAGCGGGGCAGCAAGACTCACTGCTGCTGCCACTGCCAGGACTCCCTGCCAGCCACGCTGCCATGGATTAATGCCATGCTGACAGCACCATAAGGAGTAATAGACTGGGGGTGGGGCGCAAACCGCACTGCCATCACCTCCTCCCGCCACCAGCCGCTTGTGCACCAGGCTGCAGCTCTACTCCAGAGGGGAGGTGGGGTGGAGGCAGTGTGGGCGGCCTGAAGGAAGCAGTAATAGCGGCAGGGTAGAGCTGCGGCCCAGCACATGAGCAGCTGGCGGCAGAAGGATGCACCCCTCCCCCCCCAGTTCATTACTCTTTGAGCTGCTGGCGGCTTGGTGTTACTCCATGGTGGCATGGCTGGTCTGGGGGTTCTGGTGGCAGTGCCAGCAACAGCAACCAGTCTCACTGCCCCACTCTGCCCTCCCATGCTGAGTCCCACCCAATGGGCTGCAGTGCCAGTCCAGCCATGCTGCAGCCCCGTGCCCTACTGTGGGTGTACCAATCCAAGGGGGTATATGTCCCCTTCATGCCCCCCACCCCAGCACACTGCCCATGGTAGGGTACCCCCTGTGCCCAACATACTGCCATTGCCCTGCACACCCCCACATTCCCCACACACTGGGGGGCGGGACCTGGGGGCAGGGGGGCAGGTCAGGAGCGAGAGGCACCGGCAGTGCTGGGGTGGCTGTGGTTTGAAAACAAGGGGCACAGAGATAATCAGGGCTGCTCAGCACCACAAAGCAGTGGCTGGGGGTGGGGGGAGGGATGGGACAGCCACAGCTGGACCCACTTCCTGGTGAGCAATGGAGGCAGGGGGGCTCTGATTTTCTCATGATAAAAAACCCAAAATCAAATGCCAAAATTTATGGGTATTTGGAATTTGTTTCATTATAATGACTGAGACACTGGTAGGCTTTCAAATCGCTTTAAAATTGTAAATAGATCAATCAAACATTGCATTCAACTGATAACTGTGTATATAATGGCATTTCGGTTTTATTGCGTAAAAATGCACATTTTGAGGTTTTTAATCTCAGTGAAGAAGCAGAAAAGGATCTTGGAGTCATTATTGATGTCAAAATGAACGTGGGCCGATACTGTGGGGACGCGGTCAGGAAGGCCAACCGCACCTTGTCATGTATCCACAGATGCATCTCAAGCAGGTCCAAGGAGGTGATCCTCCCCCTCTATGCGACACTGGTCAGGCCGCAGTTGGAGTACTGCGTCCATTTCTGGGCACCGTACTTCAGGACAGATGTGGACACCACGGAGAGGGTCCAGAGGAGGGCCACCCGCATAATCAGGGGGCAGCAGGGCAGGCCCTATGAGGAGACCTGAACCTGTTCAGCCTCCACAAGAGAAGGCTGAGGGGGGATCTAGTGGCCATTTACAAATTAGTCAGAGGGGACCAGCAGGCATTGGAGGAGTCCCTATTCCCCCGAGCACTACCAGGAGTGACTAGAAATAACGGTCACAAGCTGGCAGAGGGTAGATTCAGACTAGACATCAGGAGGCGCTATGTCACAGTTAGGGCAGCTAGGATCTGGAACCAACTTCCAAGAGAAGTGGTGCTGGCTCCTACCCTGGGGGTCTTTAAGAGGAGGTTAGATGAACACCTTGCTGAGGTCGTTTGACCCCAGTACTTTTTCCTGCCATGGCAGGGGGTCGGACTTGATGATCTGCTCAGGTCCCTTCTGACCCTACCAACTATGAAACTATGAAACTATAATCAGGGAATTTTTTAAATTTTTATCAGAGAATTTTGGATTTTTAAACAGAAAAAACCAGGATCCTTGCTCATCACACTAGTTATCATTTACTATTCAGGGCTAAACAGCATTTCAGAATGCGTACTATATAGTATCCACTGGAGCGAGCTCTCCAGAAGGTGATATTACAACTTCAAAATAAGATGCTACAATCAAAAGGTTTAGTAAGAGATATTGCATCTTACCACTTTTTTTTTTAATGCATCTCTGCTTCAACAAACCTGAAAGTGATTTTGATACTCTTTTTGCAATAAAATACTATCCAGAGTCATGATAAATAAGTATATTTTAATCACACTAACATAATTAATTACCTTTGCTTCTTCCAAAGCTGGTATGCGCAAAGTCGACAACAAAAGAAGTGAGCACAGCCACGTCAGGATTGACATTTGGAACTGGGCCACAGAAAATGAAATAAATATATGCAGCAAAATCAGTGCCAAGCCCTTGATTCCTAATAGAAACCAGCAGGCTATCATTCCATAAGTCATGAGACACCAGGGTTTGTACTGTAAATAAAGGAGACAAAGTTGTTTTAATAACTTCTGTTTCTATTATTTTAAGTTTATCACCCCAAACATGATATTTATCTAACTGGACAGCCCGTTTTTTGGCAATGGCAAATACAAATATTCACAAAAAGCCAACTAGAGAAGACTGTTTATTTTATAACAAAGAACTGTTACAACTCATATAACTCTTAAAGACATCAGAAGGGTTGCCTTATGATCTCAGCATCAAGAGCAACATACACAGGTTCTGTGGATTCTCATATCTGAATCCTATGGTAACAATCTAGCCCATCATTTTCTCAAGTGACTGAATGCAATGCCCATGTGATTTCATTTCTGAGGGCCTCTCAGAGGAGACTTGCATTACTATTTGTTCTTGATAGACATAAAGACCACCCGGTACTTTATAACTGAATATGGGGATTGATGTAGTGTCCCTGCCCAACTTTCCTCTCCTAGATGTGCAGTGTGTGATATGCATTGAGCTGTATAGCTGCCACCAATTACTACAGATGATATAGTCCCTTCATACACACCATCACTTGCTACTATCAAAAAAACTCAGAGAGCTCAATACAGCTAATCAGAGATGTTTTGTGCATACAACAGAGTGTTTGGCTATGAAAAAATAAATGCTTTCACACCCAACAAGGAGAGAGACCTGCTGACAAATTAAACCATGAAACCAAATTAGGATCACTTCAAGCACCTGATTCATAATTTCAAAACTTTTTCTTCCAAAGAAAACTGAATGGAAGGAGAAAGCTTTGCTTAAAGCTTTACATGTTGTTTTCTCCAAGTTTTTCCTTAACAGACAGAGTTTGCAGGCTCTTCCAACGGAGACAGTTTGTGACCCATAACCAGTACAAACCTACCTTCAGGAATAAACAAAGACCAGACAGGACAAAGGGCTTGACTGTGCTGTGTCTTATCTATAGAGCTGTGTTTCTAAATAGTTAGACACATATGATATGCGTAAATATTTGTGTATATAAAAATGAAGAGGGTGTTCACAATAAAACACTATATAACTGTATTAAAGTCATTACTTTAAACACAATGCAGCCAAGAAATATATCCATTTAGCAAACCAGGACATTTTCAATTATTAACTTTTTATTTCATTAGCTAAAGCTTAATCAGATTTGAAGGTTCCAACAAAACTTGTATATGCATCTCCACAATGCAGCTGGTATGGCTTTATATTTAAAGTCATCTATATAGCACAAATGCTTTGACAGTGAGCTCTTCAAGATATTTCATAGTTATCTCTACGTTCACCTTTTAACACAATAGGATACAGATCCTGTTAATATAATGCATGACATATAAAATATATTACACAATAAATACAAATTACAACAATTATAAGAAAGCTCTTATTGTTCATACTGCCCTTAAAAGTTGTGAAAAAATATTCATACTTAATTATAATAAAATATATAAACAATATAAAAGAAATGTCCTTTCTTTTAAAATTTAAAGTTTAAAAGTCTACAAGTTGACACAAGAGGCATGAACTTGTCTTTGGTCCTCCACAAGGATGCAAGAGTTTCTAAGGTATGCACAGTAAGCATCCAGACTGAGAAAATTATCCTAGAAGGTTCAATGTCTATCCAAAGTTCTTTGAAGCTCTTGAAGCTGCCTGTCTCCCCTTTCTTTGAGCAGTATTAGATGATGAAAACAGTATCAACAAGATGCTAAGAAGAAACCACTAAAATTATTCCAGCTGTGAAAAGAACCCTCTTGCTGCTTTCTGCATAATTTAAAATTACTTGAAATCATATGCAAACAGTGTGCATACATTTGTATCATTACTCATAATACTGTGCTCAAAAAAGGAGAGAGTCATATTGCTAATCACTTTGGCACAACAGTAGCAGAAATCCATGAAATTCATGAAATCCAGTACAATTCATGAAACAGTAACACTGGGCTACCCAGCAAGGCAGCAGTGGCAGTGCAGAGGAGCTGTAAGGCAGCCCAGGGACGGGCTCTAGGCAGCTGCAGCAAGAAGAGCCCAGCAGCGAAGGGGAAACGTTTGCTCTTCCCCCAAGCAGAGCAGCAGCTTCTACCTGGGCATGGGCGAATGAGTCTGGAGCAGGTGCAGGGCAAGCCAGTCGGGGCTGTGTGCATGGATTCTGGCTGGTCCAGAGCTGGTCTGCTCTGCTGGGGCAAGTCCTCAGTGGGCATGGGATGGGGCTGGGGTCAGGGTTGTGTGCGCAGTTCCCTGCCAGTAACCACAGGGCTGGAGCTAGCTGTGGCAGCAGTTGAAAGGAGCCGCCACCGCTTGGGCTACCTAGAAAGGCAGTCCAGCTGCAGAGCCACCTCAGCCGCGCTGCATGCCTAGAGGGCAGCGGGACATGCCACAGGCCAGATGGCATCTGGTCAGGTGGGACTGAGGAACCAGGTTGGTCTGCTCCAGCCGAGTTGAATCCAGAGCAGGCAAAGGCCAGGGCTGGGCCTGTGCATTGTTGGTGGTGGTGAGGTGGAGATGCAGAGTATGCAGGCTCTGGGCTGTTTTGGGTGGGGGAGGAAGGGGTGCTGACTGGCCTGAGGCAGCTCTCCAGAACTGTCTATGTGGCCCATGGATCCAAATAATTGCCCACCCCTGCTCTAAATGCTGGCTCATGACTCTTCAGCCCAAATACTGATATACAGTTTTCTAACATGGAGTTTGTGTAACTCTGTTTTCCCATGTTTTTAATACACGCCTTCCTCCACAGCATTGTACGTGCCTTGGGTGGTGAACTGGCTTAGGGACCACACCCAGAGAGTGGTGGTGGATGGTTCCTTCTCGGCCTGGAGGGAGGTGGCAGTGGGGTCCCGCAAGGTTCAGTCCTTAGACTGATATTATTCAATATCTTCATCAGCAATTTGGATGAGGGCATGGAGAGCACCCTCTCCAAGTTCGCTGACAATACCAAGTTATGGGGCAAAGTTAGTACACCGGAGGGCAGGGAGCAGATTCAGGCTGACCTGGACAGGTTGGATCAATGGACAGAGAGAAATAGGATGCAATTTAATAAAGATAAATGTAAGGTACTCCACCTGGGAAGGAGGAACCCCCAACACACCTATAGGTTAGGGAGTGTCCTTCTCAGCAGCTCGGAGGCAGATAGGGATCTTGGAGTCATAATTGACTGCAAGATGAACATGAGCCGGCAGTGTAACGAGGCCATCAAAAAGGCCAATCGTACCTTGTTGTGCATTAGCAGGTGCATGACTAATAGAACAAAGGAGGTGATGCTCCCCCTCTATGCGGCACTGGTCAGGCCGCAGTTGGAGTACTGTGTCCAGTTCTGGGCGCCACACTTCAAGAGGGACTCGGGGAATCTCGAGAGGGCCCAGAGGAGGGCCACTCGCATGATTAGTGGCCTTCGTGATAGACCCTACGGGAGGAGGTTGAGAGAGCTGAATCTCTTCAGCCTTCACAGAGACAGCTGAGTGGAGATCTTGTGGCCGCCTATAAATTTATTAAGGGAGGTCAACGGGGAATAGGGGAAGCGCTATTTACTAAGGCGCCCCAGGGAGTGACTAGGAATAACGGATGTAAACTAGTTGAGAGTGGATTTAGGTTAGATATTAGGAAGAAATTTTTCACAGTAAGGGTGGCCAGGATCTGGAATGGGCTCCCAAGAGAGGTGGTGCTATCACCTAGCTTGGAGGTCTTCAAGAGAAGGCTAGATAGTCACCTGGCTGGGGTCATCTGACTTCGGTCCTCTTTCCTGCCAGGGGCAGGGGGTCAGACACGATGATCCATTGTGGTCCCTTCCGACTCTACAACCTATGAATCTATGAATCCCTGTGTCAGGACACGAAAGTTAAGGAAATATCTGACAAAGAAGTCCTTATAATCCATGAAGGCAGAACCCATAGCTAAGCCATCCCCGACAGCCACACGATACCTCACTCTGGTTTAAAATCCCAGAAGTCCCTATCTTAGAGCAGCTGTCCAGAATTACTAATATGAAAAGTGTAGTCTGCAGCTGCTCTAAGTAGGTTAAAATTATCAAGGGCATTGTATTTCAAATGCTTCACACCAGAAACCAATCACCAACAGGAAACAAGGAGATACCTTCCCAGGAACTTCTTTTCATCCAATTAAGTATACAATTACTACTGCGCAGTAGCACTGCATCACGGTTAGTGCCAGACAATGCTACTATACGGTAGCTCTGAACTACTGTGCAGTAGCATCTTATGTAGACACACCCACTGATTCATTATGTTCCTCTTCTTTTTCTTTCATCTGCATTACCCATGCTTCTAACTTTATTTTAAATTTGTAAAAGATCTGAGAACAGATCTAACTAGAAAAAAAGTCATAAAAAGGGGATGCAACCTCACAGATGGCATCAGTTTCATGGCACAATCTGTGCAAGGGCTGCCTTGTTTTCCCACATGTTTCCAACACATTCTATGAATCATAACAGCTGGCAGTCACTTCTCCAGTCCAACTACGTCATTCTATTTAGGGACTCAAAAGGGCCTTACAAAAACCTTTCAACTGAAACTGCTGAAATACCTGGTGCTAGACATTCCACACTGCCACTAAAAGCAAGTATGTTTGGCATGATTTAAAAAAGGTGGCAGTGAAATAAATTGGGAAGTTAGCATTAAAACAGCTTAATTTAAAAAGCTGTTAAAAAAACTCACAGCATTCAGGCTATTACATTATTCTTTTCTGAGCTACAAAATGCTTAGAGTCAACTTTGGGCTCAATATTCCATATTTCATTTTTAATTAATGCTAAGGAACTATAAGTCAGACTTCTCCTTCTCTCTATAAACCAAAAATATGATTTAATCACAGAGTACCTGTGTTAATATTAGCTTGTGTAGCAATAGAGCTACCTATTAATAAAGTTGCCTAACTTCAAATGACTTCTAATTTTGTGAAGCTAGTTATCTGGGCCCAAATTTTGTATTCCAGTGTTTGCCTCTGGTTGCATTTTTCTTGAAAATTCCTACCTGTGCCCTCCTGGCCTCAAACAT